GCCATGTCGATGTGCATGTCCCTCCGCCGGGGTCTCTTCTTGACTGTTGAGAAGTCCACGAATTACTGAATTGGGAAGGAGCCTAGAGCCCAGTCTTGACATGGTCGATTGTCTTCGTGCCGCCATTCGAGCAAATGCCGCAGTCCGGTATTCGCGAGGTGGGAGTTCATACTCGGGTCCGTCCTCCTCCTCAATACTCCGCATGGGTTGCGAACCGCCAGCGGATGACCGGCCTGGCCGGTCGGATGCCATATCTTGGTCACTCCTGGTGTGTGTGTTCATGTCTGCCCGGGGTGACAAATCACCCTCTCCGTTGTGTTCAGCCGCCTGTCTATGATTCATGTTTTCATCCCTTGTGTTAGGGCCACGCTGTATCGGGAAAGGTGCAAGGTGTGCCGGAAAGCCAGTGTTGGATGGATCACGTTGCGTAGAAGAGGACTGTCCCATAGTAACAGAGTTGTGCCCGTTGGAGTGATACAGAGTGTCAACGAGTGTTCATTGCCACGCGAGGACCATATGGCTAGTAGCGGCGACCGTATCAATCTTGGGTTGAACCTAGGAGATGGAGATAACAAGTAAAAGTATCTAAGTGATGTATGAATTAGGTGTTGATTTCTTGCTCAAGCCGACAGGGTCGATGCAGTTGATTCTCGGGGGTGGTTCTGAAGAAGCCGTATGTCTCGGACGTTTGGAACAAAGGAGTGGAGAGCGGACAGGGAGTTGGCGGTTATCGGGTTACTTGCGATAGGTACGAAACGCGTAATATAATTTCACTGCCCAATACGAGACCAACAGCGGCCAGAGGTCTCAAACTGTCTGACGAGTCCAGGCACAGCCCACACTCCCGAGTGGTATAACCGCCGAGCCTTGAATCTCGGGGAGCTATGGTAACCACGCTCAGAAATGAACAGCCAGTAAGTGGCAAACGCGAAACGGAGGTGAAAGAGCACCGAGCAAAAGGAAAGGGGGAACTAGAGGAAAAGGAGGAGTAGAGGAGTCATATCAAAGCAAGCAGTTGATAGAGAGGACGATAAGTGATGATGTTTGCCTCCTTTGCTTGGGCTCGTGTGCCTGAGGCATAATATCTTCATTCCGTCATCTTCCACCACCCGTTTCTGACAAATGCGCAACCATCAATTGGGGCAATCATAACCAGCTAGATCCTAGTACAGACTGCCACGGCTCTTACTTTCTTTGGCGGCGCATGGAATACGCCCCCTCTTGAGCATATGGCTGCGCCGTCGTCTTCTGTTTTTTCTCTACCACTACCGCCTTGGCTCCAGCCGCCTGCCACTCGCGTATCTCAATATGACCGCCAGAAACGCAAAAAGAGTGTGGGGTGGAGTGAAAGCGACCTAGATGGCGAAGAAACAACTGATATCGCCTCGGCTACGGAATCTGAGCCCGCTGGGCCTCCCCTGGTATTGACGCCGAATGAATCCCATCAGTACCGAATTGCCGGTTTTCCGTCCAACCAAGAGTTGCCGAAAGGCCATTTCCCCCATGAAGCAGATAAGGATGAGCAACTCAGAAGAGAGACTACCTCACGCCACCTCAAAGACTTGGCGGCATTATCACCTCCAATCTACCCTCCTCAGTCTGCCCAGCAAGGCAACATCCGCTTCCAGCATCTGGGAGTATTGACAGCCATTTTACATCGATGTATGCTCCAAGGTGATTATGTTCGAGCCGGACGAGCTTGGGGCTTGATCTTGCGCGAAGATTACAGAGGCTTTCAAATGGACGTCCGCAACGAAGAAAGGTGGGGCATTGGCGCTGAGATCTTGCTGCGGCGTGACGAACAGGAAACCTCAGCTAGTCCTGGTAGCACCAAGGTGCCAAATGCGATGGACAGCACACCCTTAAATTTTACAGCCAAGGGCTTCGCGGCAGCCAAAGAATATTATGAACGACTAATTCTCAACCATCCATTCACGAAATCTTCACCACAGTCTATTTCCTCCTTGCACTTCTACCCTGCAATGTTTGGGCTCTGGGTGTATATCACCCAGGAAGAAAGCAAGACAACTAGGAAAAGTATTGCTCTTCGCCAAGAAGAAGAGCCTGAAGAGTTTTCCGAGGACGAAAATTCAGAATCTGAATTTAGCCACCGTCGGAAGTCACAAAACAAGGCAGATGCTGCCATCACAGCAATCAGGGCAGTGGAGTTAGAACAGGCGCAGCAGATTGCTGCGCGTATGGACCAGCTCCTAGGGTCTCCTCCATACTCTGACTCGCCTGAATTGCTGGAGCTCAGAGGCATGATCTGTTTGTGGGTCGGTGATCTGTTGCTGTCTGCGCTGTCATTGCCGGTAGACTTCGAACAAGACGACGACCCCGACCGGATGCTCATGGATGAAACCCCAGGCTCTCTCGAGGCGAGACGTGAACACAGGCTTGCAACTGAAAAGAAAGCAACTGAAGTCCAAAGATCGATCGAGCTCTTCCAGAAGGCCAAGAAACGAGGAAGGAGTGTCGCATATAATATGGAGAGTCTTCATATTGATGATGACTCTGCTGATTTAGGTCCTGGTTGAGATGATCTCGGTGTTCATCTGCTGCGGGACTTCTCATTTAAACTTTTATCCAATATACCCCCAATGAATTGCATCTGATTTATATCTAAACACATCTCTCGGCCAGTATACTAGAGTTCATTGTATAATTGTATAGAAAATGAAGAATAACACCATTGTGTGCCTCAGTGGTGTGGTATCCACAATTTCGGCAAGAATTTAAGCTAAAGTTATTTGGTATTTATGCCGGGAGATCACCGCCGCTCTAAGGCCCTATACATACTGTTGTGGCGGCCCTAATTGCTGTGGATGAGGTTTGAAGACATTTGAAATGATCGGCACGTGACTACGCGGCGATATCGCGTTTGCCCAACAACCTTACCATGGACTCATTCTCATCGTCTCTCAGCATCATCAAAAAAAGTACACATTTCTGCGTTCCCTCTAAAATAGCCGGCTCCAAGAAGTATCATGGGGGTTGGCGATTATGTCCACTCCAAAGAAGGTGGGCAGGCTCGCGGAGCCCCCGACCAAGCCACCCAGTCGCGCCAGCAACGTGCAGAACAAGCCAGAGTCGAAGTACCAGTCACCCAGCTAGTCGACTCAGGTCTTCCAGGTGCCAATGGTAGAGGCGGCTCGCTTGAATTCCATGGTACATCACAATTCCCAAATCAGCCCCGCAATATTCCTACGCATGGGACGCAGCGGGACAGGGATGTGTTTGACACAGACGTGGAGGCGATTGATGATTCAACCGTGGCGGGGACTAGCGTCTATGGATTTGATGACAACAAATCTCAGGCAGCGTCAAGCACCAATGCTGCCTACACCAAACCCGATCCACAATCTGTCTACCAGCCCCGGCCTTCACGGCATACTTACGGGTCTAACTGGTATGAAGGCCTAGGGGACCAAGCCATGAAGAAGGCCGGCTTTGACTCAGATGACTTTGATGACTTTGGAAGCCAAATGTCTTCATCCATTGGTGGAGATGGCGGAGAAAACGAAAAGCCAGACGAAGCACACGACTGGCATGTGTCACACAAACCGCCTACGAGCGAGGAGCCATTGAGTAAGCGCCTGGAGAATTTCTGGTCCGCCAGCAGAAAGAGAACTTCTTCGCGGCAGCATGTCACTATAGACTCTGACCCCGAGCCTCAGACTAAACCACAACCTAAGTCTAAGCCGCGAAAATTGGGTCAAATGCTTCCTCCTACTGGGCCCAGGAAGATTGTTCTCCCCCACAGCTCATCAGCAACACCCAGGACACGTTTCAGCCCACCAAAGCCTTCACTTCTAGAACAACTCGACCAACAACTCGATGCATCACCTACTCGTCACCATTCTCAACCTCCACCAGATATCGACCGGACTCTCAGCATCGCATCGTTTCAGGACAGCGACGGTGGAAGCGATGATGGCATGGACGACCACACCATACGCGCAGATGTACGACGAGAAAGCGGCGGGCATTCAACCAATGTCTTTGATATGACGAGTTTGACCGATCTAGACGTGGACCACACCATGCAGGATCCGTTTTTTGTGCAAGAAATGCACGAATCACACGAACCATCGCGTCGTGGGCGTAGCAACACTGTCATCCACTCCAAAAAGCGATCACTTGAAGCAGACTACCCCCCAGAAGTTCTTTACCAAAAGTCTTTCTCCGAGCTGCAAGCTGAACCTTTTGACAAGTCCCCCACCCCTCCTCCACCTGTCATTAAATCCCCCTCCTTGCCACCGAACCCACCTACTATCCCTGATACTCATGAACCGAAGAATGCCGTATCCCATCTGTTGGCTCTAACGGACCAAGAACGCCAAAATTATTTGTCCCACATGACTATGGATGAATGGGAAGACTGCGGAGACCAAATAATTGGCCGTTTCACTGATCTTCTTTCGGAAATGAAGAACCTACGGCGTGCCCGCCGCCGCACAGCTGCTGTGTTTGAAGGCGAAGTCAAGCGCCGCCATGACCGAGTTGAAACACAGAGTTTGGAGTTGACGAATAAATTGACTAAGATGAGAACTGGCGGTGCAGAGGTTCTGCGCGGACGCCACTCATGAGTAAAGCATAGTGGCTTGTCAGTGGCCCTTATGTTGTTTAAGATGATTGTGGTATGCCCCAAACTACCCACCGCGGGACTTGCTTTAATCATGTTCAATACCCCTTTTATGATTTCAATTTTTATCAAATTTCGCAATCGTTTCTTCGCTAAGGTCCTGCGTGGGGGCGCTTATCAAGTTTGCATTCAAATGCTATCTGAAGGGTTAATTTTGCTAAAATGATGTATGATATAGACAATGCATAGCTCACTCGCCAAACTATGCTATTTAACCCGAGGTTTATTCACCCAAATGAAAAGGAATATCAGATATAATAACGCCATCGATCCATAATGCAAGAATACTTCATCTCTCATTGCACCCAATGGATAGGAGAGATGAAACGAAAGAACGTGATCCAATCACAGAAACTTACCGAGACTCAAAAGCGGGTTTATAAAGCGCAGAAGCGAGTCTCTTATAGTCCTCCAGTAGAGCGGCTACGTCCCCAATCCGGAGATCGCGCGCATCTTGTGTCTCAAGGAACCGCTGGATCGGAGGATCAATTTTCAATGAAGAGGCGGGGAGGGGGCTGACAGGGCCGCTAGTGCCGTCTGTCGAGGCAGGTGATGGCTTGAATCTGTCCAGTCCTGATGGAGATACGGACCTGCCGCTGGGGGTTTCTGGTGCGTTGCGGCCAAAGCTTTTCATCATGCCCGGGATGTGGTTTAAAGGGTTGAGCGTGTTGCCAAAGTTTCGCATTGATTCTAACGGAGTGGTGATGGGTGAATTCGACGCTAGATCTTCGCGTAGTGATGTCGTGGTGGACTTTCTACCGCTTCCCTGGGTTCGGGTGCTGTCCACACTCCGGTCCCGAGGGGTAGGTCCGCTGGAAAGGTCCGTGAGTCTTGAACTACTGCGTGGGGGTGTACTTTCATCCACGGAAACAGAGTTGATTGCTGCGAGCTCCCCTTGGGTCAGGTTTTGGTTGGTGGCAGAGGCAAGCGGCAAGCTCACAAGACGGCGAGCCTCGGCCAATGTCTTTGGTAGTATTGGTTCGCTATCCTCCGAGCCAGGTCCTTGGATGTTTTGCATTTCCTTCAGACGACCAAACAGAAAGTTGAAACTGCTGTCCAATGTAGCACCGATATTCTTCAGGCTTTGGTCAGCAGTGGTGCGCACAGCATCATTTGCAGCCCCAAGCACTTTAGCAGGCGGTTGGAAAAGATTGCTGAGCCGTCGTTGTTGTGGTGTGGCAGAGGGCCGCGGCCTGGGTAATGTAGAGGGGGGTTCTTTGATTTCAGGTTTCGATAGTTCCGGCGATGCAGATACAGTGGTGACAGCCAAGGTTGTAGTCTCCTTGGGGGGCCGGAAAGGATCGACATGTTCTGCGGATGGTGTCGTTGTCTCACCAGGGGTTTTCAGAGGTCCATCCTGTAGCTCATCGGCACGCAGTGTGGAAAGATCGACGTTTTCCAAAAAGCTTATTGCGGCCTCTAGATTGGTTAGGCAGTAGGCCGTTTCTCCATCAATTCTGTTCGAAGACCTGAAACGTTGGATAAAAACTAAGTTGCTGACAATGTTGATCCCTTCAGGAGGGCATGTCACAAGCGAATAGATCAACGTGGGTAGAATCTCATCTGCAGAAGAAGAAGATGGTAAAAGTTTAGTAAGGGCATCGACGATGGCCTTATGCGCCGCTGCGAGCTGCTGAAGCTTTCCAAGGGGGTATTTGTAATCGTTCATTTTCGCGAGATGCTCTCGGGCTTGACAAAGAAATTCGTTCGCCTCGTCCTGCTTCTGTTCGTCGATTGATTCAAGGTCTATGTCGATACCAAGGTCCTTCAGATTAATGCCGACCAGCAGCAAAGCCGCAGTCTTGGAACGCAACTTTTCATCCCGCACATCATCCAATGTACTTTTGTGCCTCCAAAGTTTATCATAAACCAGCTCGCAGACTCTTCTTTCAGCAGCCTCTTCTAATGCACTCCGTTTGTTTTCAAGGGCTCTACGAGCCTGTCGTTTTTCAGCTACTTCGGATGCAGTCAACATTTGGCGACCTGAAGCCCCCAGCCTGACATCGTCTTGAGAGCGTTTGCTACTCAGTTTCGACAGTGCGCTTCCTCGTGGAGCCTTTGCAGGGACCTGAGGCGAAAGATCGCGGTTGATACGAGCTATGAGAGCAGAAATATGTGTGGCAATGTGGGACTCGGCGCGGCTGTAGAAAACTTGGAAGAGCTCGGAGATCTTCTCTATCGTGGGAGGCGAGTTGTGTACTTTAGCACTCAGAGAATTCACGAAACTATCGGTAAAATGGTTGTCAGAATAAATGTTAAGCATAGGCACCAATGTGACCACACTTACCGATCTGCTAGGCTGATTAGTTCGATCGGCAGCTCCTCCGAGGGGTCTTGTACGCTTCTCGAAAGCACAAAGCCATCATCTGTCTGGGCATCGGCTACTGTGCCAGAGTCTGCGGAGCCCCGTCTTTCGAATACGTCGGGTCCATCTTCCTGCCCCTCATAATTGATAGAGGACAGAGGTGCTGTTTTGGAATCTTGCTCAAGCGTGGGAGATTTCACGTCCGAGCTGCCCATTCTGGTGAATGACTGTGCTAAATGCAAACGAGGCTGGGTGCTATTTCAGAGGCACCAGACGTTTTAAGGCCAGCGGCGATGGGGTTCGATGAGGCACTAATTGCGCGTCTCCGCTCCTGGATGCAGCTGATAGGCTTGTGCAGATCCGCGTCTGAGACCCCTGCTCTAGCCTAAGCCTGCTGTCCAGAAGTAATCGGAAGTACTCCGTACAAAAGAAGGAGTATACTAAAGCTGATCAGCAGTAGCACATTTCTTTCCTGATGATCATTTGAGAAGACATCAAATTGATGAGGAATTAGATTCATACGATATCGCGTCACGGGGGTACTCATCACGTGCCAATTGCTCTCCGCACTGCGTCACTTGATAAGTGACTCGCCGATAACCGCGATAGACTCACCTGGGCACTTCTCCTTGATCTTGATCCTCATCATCAACACCCATCATGCCTCGAAAACGTTCATGGATTAAATTTAGCATCCACGGCCTATTATTATCGGCTGCAGTATTATCAGGTGCAGCTTCCGCCTCAGGCTATTATCCACCCTCTCAACAAGTCCCCATCATCCAGCCCCAGGTACCTTTGAATGGGGCGGAGGCTACACCAGACACCCACGAATTTGTAAGATGCCCTACGCAAGTTGTATTACCCTAGTTACCGGTAATAACCGTTTATAGTCCTTACGCCACATCTTCCACCGAGGGACCTATGAACAACCCGATCTTCATGCCAGACTCGACGTCAAGCCAGACACTCGCCTTCGAACTGTATCCGAAGATGGATACGGAGAACAATATATTGCATCAGAGTCTTCTCTACTCGCTTCATCAAGTCCTCTCACAATACAACGGTTAGTCGACCGACGACTGCCGGTGATTCAAGGTCACTTAGCAGCCGCGCGGTCGTCGGGCTTTTCGGCCGCCTTGTCTCCACTGGAATGGGCCTTGGACACCGTGCCGGGGCCGAATATTACAGACAAACAGACTGTCTTAACATTTGCACAAATGACCGCGAATGACTATATCGAGGAGCCTGGAACAGGACAGTGGCACACTATCCATGGCAAGTTCAACTATTCGGGCAGCTTCGGTTGGCAAAAGGATGGGCTGAGAGGGCACATCTATTCCGATAAGACAAACAGCACTATTGTCATTTCCCTGAAGGGCACTTCGCCGGCTCTTTTCGATGGCGCAGGTACTACAACGAACGATAAAGTCAATGATAATCTATTCTTCAGTTGTTGCTGCGGCCAAGGAGGCTCATATCTATGGAGACAGTCTTGCGATTGCCAGAGTGCTACATTCACAGCAAATCTGACATGCATCGTCGAGTCTATGACTGACGAAAACCGGTATTACCAGGCAGCGATCGACCTATACTCTAACGTTACCGAGATCTACCCGGATGCAAATATTTGGATGACCGGTCATTCCCTAGGTGGTGCAATGACAAGTCTGGTTGGATTGACGTTCGGGTTGCCTGTGGTCACTTTTGAGGCCGTCCCAGAGGCATTACCCGCAGCTCGACTTGGCCTTCCAAGCCCGCCAGGGTATGACTCACGATTTCCACAGTCGCGACAGTTCACTGGGTCCTACCATTTTGGACATACAGCAGACCCGATCTATATGGGAACCTGCAATGGAATCAACTCTATCTGTACATGGGGCGGCTATGCGATGGAGTCGGCATGCCACACCGGACAGATGTGCACATATGACACTGTGGCAGACAAGGGCTGGCGTGTCGGCCTTGGCACTCACAAGATTGAGAACGTCATATCTGATGTGATTTTGAAATACGATAGTGTCCCCTCATGTGTCGCAGAGGAAGAATGCTTCGACTGTGAACTCTGGAAGTTCTTCCGAAGCAACGGGTCTGAGGCCACAACTACTACAACTACCACCACTACTGCATCTCCCACCAGAACTTCTACATGCAAGACCCCCGGGTGGTGGGGTTGTCTGGATGAAAGCACAACCGCTACTACTACGACTACGACTGCACCGACAAGCACTGCCACTACGACGACATGCCTGACTCCTGGTTGGTTCGGGTGCAATGATCCTACCACAACAGCCACTCCAGCACCCACGGTGACTACCACTTTGCCCACGGTGACTGCAACGACCAGCTGTCAGGATCCAGGGTGGTTTGGCTGCCGTGACGAAACTAGCACGGTAGCCACGACTACCGCTAATTCTGCCTCGCCCACTTCAGCGACCTGCCATAACCCGGGGAGGTTGTGGGGATGCTGGGATGAGTCCACTAACACCCCTGCGATCACCTCGGTGCCCACTCTTACCAGCTAAACCCCATTCCTTCCCCATGCATGCACTTGCAGCATACTCTTGCTGCCCCTTTTTTCGATTGATATATAGGCTCTCGAGAAGCCGCAAGCGCTAGATATACCCACCCACCTTTTATGATTTGTTCAAACCTCGAGCTGTTTTCGAGTTTTCTTTCTCTGCGATATACAAGATAAGATATACGATTGGCGCACTAAGCGAGCATTTATTTTGATTTTTTTCTTCTTGTTGTTTTCAAGGATCTGATTGAGCATGAGTCGACTGAGCCCTTGTTGACTTTCTTGCTCCAAATTCAAGGGCAGCACTATTCAATGTGCTTTGCCGAGGCATAGGTGGAATTGGTCCAACTAAGGCCTCGCGCAACACCTTGGAGGGACTGACCTTTGGAAGTTTCGGTTGCTACTATACTATGACAATGAGATATTTCAATGAATTCGTTGGATACAAAACTGTGTAATTGACCGGTTTGTCTGTAGCTCAACAAGTCTGGAAGGCCAACTCCGTCGCTCTAGGGTCGGAAGCCCGGGGATTTCCGATCTCGGATCGTTCCGACAGAACAGATTCAGCTGACAGCTTAAACTCGGATCGACCTGCTAAATTGGGAGAACGGCTTGACCTGCCCGGAATATCTCCCTTTCGGTCTAGCCGCAGGCCGTTTACAAAGCTATTTCTCGAGGGCTTGTCCCGTTCTCCAATTTCCGGGAGTGGACCCGATAGGATGACATCGGCCCAGTTGCGATTGGATATCGATCATTCTGCATGCCCACGTTAGTGGCGTTTAGAGGTATTCTGTATTGTACATAAATATAGTCAACATTTGCTGAAATCGAGAGTAGATAGAGTAGATTGTGGACCAATTGACAGTGGATTATTTTCCATATCAAAAGCTGGTGGGGCCCTTGGACTTTTCCATGGCTCCCCACAAGGTTGTTTTTTTTCCTATATAAACCAAACGGGGCTCCCAGGAATTTCTCTCTCTTCCCCATATACAGTCTGCCATTATGGGTCAAGATAACGAGCCTAGTTGGTCTTACCTCCCCTATCAAAGCCTGAAACACCAACTAATGCCCTCTCGTTCGCAGAAACCTACCGCTACAATGAGACTCCGGTCTACACTGCCTCCAACGGCTGCCCAGTACGCTCAGCTCACTTCCTCCTGAATCGCAAGGTCTAACCATATACATATAGGTCATGGATCCCCAGGCTGCTCAGCGCATTGGCCCCAATGGTCCTCTTCTGATGCAGGATTTCCACCTGATCGATCTGCTGGCACACTTCGACCGTGAGCGCATTCCTGAGCGCGTGGTTCACGCCAAGGGTGCTGGTGCCTACGGCGAGTTTGAGGTCACCGATGATATTAGCGATCTCGTATGTACCACCTGAGCAACTTCTACAGTTTCACAGAGAACGACTAGGCTAATAATGCATAGACTATCATTGATATGCTCAAGGGTGTCGGCAAGAAGACCAAGATGCTCACCCGTTTCTCGACTGTCGGTGGTGAGAAGGGATCCCCGGACAGTGCCCGTGACCCTCGCGGATTCGCCATGAAGTTCTACACCGAGGAGGGCAACTGGGATTGGGTGTTCAACAACACCCCGGTGTTCTTCCTGCGCGACCCTGCTAAATTCCCCATCTTCATCCACACCCAAAAGCGCAACCCGCAGACCAACCTCAAGGACGCCACCATGTTCTGGGATTACCTCTCAACCCACCACGAGGCCATCCACCAGGTGATGCACCTGTTCAGTGACCGCGGTACGCCATACTCCTACCGTCACATGAACGGCTACTCGGGCCACACCTATAAGTGGATCAAGCCAGATGGCACCTTCAACTACGTCCAAATCCACTGCAAGACCGATCAGGGCAACAAGACCTTCACCAACGATGAAGCAGCCAAGATGTCTGCCGAGAACCCTGACTGGCACACCCAGGATCTATTTGAAGCCATCCAGCGCGGCGAGAACCCCTCCTGGACCTGCTACGTGCAAGTTCTGAGCCCCGAGCAGGCCGAGAAGTTCCGCTGGAACGTCTTCGACCTGACCAAAGTCTGGCCCCAGAACGAGGTGCCTCTACGTCGTTTCGGCCGCTTCACCCTAAACAAGAACCCACAGAACTACTTCGCCGAGATCGAACAAGCCGCCTTCTCCCCCTCCCACATGGTTCCCGGTGCGGAGCCCTCCGCCGACCCTGTCCTTCAGTCCCGTCTCTTCTCCTACCCCGACACGCACCGCCACCGCCTGGGCGGCAACTACGAGCAGATCCCCGTCAACTGCCCGCTCAAGGCCTTCAACCCTTCACACCGCGATGGCTACATGAACGTCAACGGCAACTACGGAGCCAACCCTAACTACCCCTCCACCTTCCGCCCCCTCGCCCACAAGCCCATCAAGGCTAGCCAGGAACACGAGAAGTGGTCCGGCGCTGTCATCGCCGAGCAGTACCCTGTTACTTCCGAGGACTACGTCCAGGCTAACGGCCTGTGGCAGGTCCTTGGCCGTACCCCCGGTCAGCAGGAGAACTTCGTCGGTAACATCTCTGGTCACCTGTGCGGTGCCGATGAGCGTGTTCGCAAGGCTACTTACGAGATGTTCCGTCGTGTTAATGCGGATCTCGGTGCTCGCATCCAGTCCGCTACGGAGGCCCATATTACTGGTGCCCCGCCAGCGCGTTTGTAGATATGCTCTTAATTTCTTGCATTTTCATATTCAAAATAATCGTGGGTTCACTCCACACCACTGCATCGAGCTATTTCAGCAAATTAAATACGATTTATGAATTATTCTATTATATTTTGGTATCATTTTGAGGTTCTCACGAATTGTTTTGTAAATGGTTTAAAAAAATGGTGTTGTCTTCTTTTCAGGTCTATGAACGTATTCTTTAAATCAAATGAAGACAACCAGTCAGTGGCTTGAACACATCTAGGCAATATTGTAAACAGTAGCATTTCTACCACACTTTAAGAGTTAGTCTTTTCGCAATTCTGCCTACAAACTGTTTGGACCAAGCCATCGACTAATTGGGACGTATCATCCATGGCTTTTACATAATAGATTCGATGCTGTTGCCGTTTTGTTTCACTTTCTTCTTTTACGGCAAGAATCGGCCTATCAATATCTAGTTAGCATTGAATTCCATCAAACAGGGGGCGATATATCATGGGCAACTCACGCGGTCCAGTAGCATAATTGATCCCGTTTATAGCTGTGTGTCGGTATGCCTGTTGAAAGATAGCATATGACACAGGGCTGAGCTGGCGGTTGTAAGGCTGGGGAGTATTATTATATTCATAATTGAATCTGTTATAGACCGTGTTAGCATTATCCGGAAGCCTCAGAAACGTATTCTCATTCAATCGATAAACCAATTGTGATCTATGAATGTTGTTAGCATAATCTAAAAGCATATCAGAAAAAGAAGACAACTCACATAAAATCTCTACACCCAACCAAGTTCCCATTCAAGTGATCAAAATTACAAGGCACCAAACCAGAATCTCGAATGATCCCAACACAATCCCTAACTGTTTTATTGCGGCCCATAGGTATCTGGGAGAAGTGAAGCGACCTCCGATGCGGCCCATCGTACCCAAAGGTACACAGCATTAACTCCCCTGAAGTTGAGGAGTCTTGTTGGGTCACACCTTCGAAGTCCAGGACAACTCCCCTGGTGCCAAAAGGTGCGTATGGGGTATCGTCTTCCAGTTCATGTAAGAACGTGAGTCGGAGGACGCAATGGTTATTGTTTTCGAAATCTATAAATTCGAGATGGCATTCAGCAATCTTCTTGTTTGAGAGGCCCGAAGGGATATCCATGCTACCTGTAAGGTGATACTGCTGATTTGTGGTCACACCAGGAGCTAGAATGCGAGGAGGGCGCGGGGGAAGGGGAGCGTAGTTATTTCCGGAACGATGACTACGAGGCATTTCTGTATGTATGGTTAGCTCTTGGATCATTTAATTGTAGGTATTGTTTAACTTACTACCTATTATTGGTGAATTCGCTGCTGTTGGCGAGGGGGTATATATTGGTTGTTATTAAACTAGTTGCTGTTGGAGAACCGATTGTTGTTGATACTGAAAGGTTGAGGATATTATAGAAACATATTTTGTCTTATATACAAGGAGAACCTTCAAGGCTAGTAATCAATGAAACTTAGGATTGTAAGAAAATGCCTTGTAATAGACCAAGCAACGGCTGAAAGAAAGAATAGACTATAATCAATCGAGTCACCAAAGAAGCAGATATAGTTGTTGAAAGCGGGCTTTCAAAGGCAAATGGACCAATACACATTGTCCACAGAGACTATAATTAACCAGGTTGATCAAAGAAGGTCTATGAAAGAATTCCACAGAGAGATGAGCATTGTTGCTTGAACTTAGCCCCGAAGTTCGAATAGTGTTGATCAAATAATTCCAAAGAAACGAAGCCGTCCAAGCGCAAGCAGTAGGCATCTATATTTTTATATTTGGGGGGGTCAATATAGGATTCAAATCTAGTGTCCCAGATAGCTGCTTCTAGCCGGTTTATAGTAGATTTACATATCAGCAATGGGATGCAATCACTAATGCAATTAATGACACTCGAGTATTACCGAGGAAGTACGATAGATATGAACCAATAGGAATACTTCAATTCCTCAGAGAGAGTAAGATATCGCCTCTTCTTATTGTTGCAAGGGGCGAAGAATTATAGTTCCCCCACGTGGGGTTGAGAGACCCCCTGTGCATAGTCACTTTGTAGATCCAACTCAATTGTATACGGAATAATAATTTCTAAATTTTATTAAATATCCTAAAGTACTTCAATAAAAGCCAACATTAAAACATCAAATAACCAAATAATCAAATTGTAACCATGACCCATCACTTACCCCATCCGGGCCTCGCCAAGCTTCCCATCCCGCGAAAATTTGCGCTTGGAGGCATCGAACCCGAATCCCCGTTCCCCCGCCAATTCGGATTGGCTTTTATCCTCATTTCCTCTAGCCCTTCTATCTCGGCCGCAGTATTCACTTACCCTCGGTAGGCGTCAAGGGGACTTTTCGCCGCCCTGGAGTGCTCGCGTGCAATGTTCCCAGCATTGTGGGTACTTTGATTTTTTTTCCCCTGACTTCCGAACCAGCTCAACTTCCAACCTCATATCGAAAGTTACTCGAGACAATTACCTCCCCCTCCATTTCCTCCCAGTGTCCTCTCGGTTATTCTGCCTACCCAATATGGCCGAACCCAAGGCCCCAGATGCCATTACGCCGGTGGATAACCTTCCCGAATATGGTTACTCTTCGACCGCGGGACCCGCCTCGGACTCGTCCATGACCAAAGTCATTCAAAATGCAAAGGCAGCAACCGAGAAGGAACAGTCCATGACATTGATGCAGGGCATCCGGCTGTACCCTAAGGCCGTGCTTTGGAGCGTGCTCATCTCCACTTGCATTGCCATGGAGGGTTACGATATTAGTTTGGTCAACAACTTCTATGCCTTCCCGCAATTCAAGCGCAAGTATGGAGAGGTACTGGGCGATGGAAAATATGAAGTATCCGCAGCGGTAAGTCCGACCAATTCCGGCGGTGGTTGTGCCTTCCATCTCTTGGAGTGAGGTGCATTTGCCTCTTTGAGCGAACAAACTGACAATTCTTCGAATGTACAGTGGCAAGCAGGTCTGAGCAACGGTGCTTATTGCGGTGAAATCATCGGTTTATTCATCAATGGCTGGGCTTCGGAACGCTTCGGTTACCGGTACACGATTATGGCCTGCCTCATACTTGTTAGTGCTTGGACGGCAATCTTCTTCACAGCCCAGAATGTGCAAACCCTACTTGCAGCGGAGATTCTTTGCGGTGTTCCCTGGGGTGTCTTCCAGACTTTGACAATTACCTACGCCTCGGAGGTGTGTCCTGTGGCGCTGCGAGGGTATTTGACCACCTATGTCAATTTCTGCTGGGGTCTTGGCCAGCTCATTGGAATTGGTGTAATTAAGGGAATGTTGAACCGGACTGACGAATGGGCCTACCGGATTCCATACGGACTGCAATGGATGTGGCCGCTGCCGCTCTTCATTGGTATTTGGCTTGCGCCCGAATCCCCATGGTGGTTGGTTCGGAAAGGTCGGACTGAAGATGCGAAGCGGGCCCTTGTGCGTTTGACCAGCAAAAGTCAGGGAGATTTTGATCCCGATGAGACAGTTTCTATGATGGTGCACACTACTGCTCTGGAGGAAAAAATCACCAAAGGTGCTAGCTACCTAGACTGCTTCCGGGGTACCGATCTCCGCCGTACGGAGATTGTTTGCATGGTCTGGGCCATTCAAAATCTTAGTGGAAATTCCTTTTCCAACTATTCGACCTACTTTTTGGAACAGGCTGGGTTAAGCTCCTCGAACTCTTACGCCTTTGCTATGGGTCAATACGGTATCAACATGGTTGGCGTGTTTGGATCATGGTTCCTCATGACACTCGGAATCGGCCGGCGCACGTTGTACCTATACGGTCTCTGTGGCCTGTGCACCATGCTATTAGTCATGGGTTTCCTTGGTCTTGTTCCTAAAGAGCACAAAGAGCAGGCCTCCCTAGCCACGGGTGCCATGATGTTGATCTGGGCCCTATTCTACCAGCTGACCGTTGGCACGGTCTGCTTCTCCCTTGTAGCCGAGCTCTCCACCCGCCGACTTCAAATCAAGACAGTCGTGCTCGGCCGCAATCTGTATAACATTGTCGCCATCATCTGCGGCGTCCTCACCCCCTACATGCTGAACCCCGGCGCTTGGAACTGGGGCAACTACGCTGGTTTCTTCTGGGGTGGCATCTGCTTCCTGTGTATCATTTACACATACTTCCGTGTCCCCGAGCCTCGTGGACGTTCATTCGCCGAGCTTGATCTGCTCTTTGAGCGCGGTATTAGTGCTCGCAAGTTTTCGACGACCCAGGTGGACGTCTTCGATGAGACCATTGAGGGCCGTGTCATTGATGATTACCGAGCGGAGAAGAACAACCGAACTGATGAGAGCCAATTGGAGAAAAATCACGGTTCGATATGATGCGATGTGTCTTATGTTTACGACTAATTCTGCTTCTGGGCCCGAAATTGATAGGCACTCCCGCATGTACATAGCATTTTTCAGCAAATAGCATTAATCTAATATCTTCATCTGATGGCCAAATAGACAATGTAAACTGAAGTCTTCAATCTCTCATATCTCCACTTCTATTCTGATGAGGCTGTAGACGAAAATTACAGACGGAAGTGCGTTAGATGATACTGCTCTCTGCCGGGGCTCTAAACGAGTCCTCTATTCCACAGCCGCAATATCGTGAATCACACGTAGGTAATGAAAAAAATCCAGCTTCTTCATTCCAAATGAGTTTCTTCCACTCATCATCTATTCATGGGACCACTCAGCCTTCTTCTTTTCCGCAAAGGCAGTCATACCTAAGAATAATCGTTAGCAAACCCCAACCCAAGCCCACTCACTCAGCAGACCAAAGTGCCAACTCACCAATCTTCTGATCCTTACTCCCAAAGAGCGCATGGAACAACCGTCTCTCATACTCAACACCCTCCTTGAGCGACAACTCCTGGCTCTTGTTAACAACCTCCTTACCAGCAACAACAGCCACGCGACTGTAGCTAGCAATAGTCTCGGCCGTCTTATACGCCTGCTCCAGCAACTCCTCCTTGCCGCCCGGGACAACCTTCGCTGCAACACCCCACTCACCAGCCTCCTTACCGCTGAAGTTCTTTCCAGTGAGGATAAGCTCCATAGCCTTGCTCTTGCCGACGGCACGGGTCAGGCGCTGAGAGCCGCCTGCGCCGGGGATCGTGCCCAGCTTAATCTCTGGCTGACCGAAGGTAGCGGTCTCGGTACAATACAGGATGTCGCACATCAGAGCTAGCTCGCAGCCACCACCGAGGGCGTAGCCGGAGACGGCGGCGATAACTGGGGTGCGGATGGAGTTGGCGAGGTGGGACCAAGGTGCGATGAAGTTCTCGCTGTAGGCGGCTGAGAAGCTTAGAGGGGCCATTTCTTTGATGTCCGCGCCAGCTGTGGTGGGTTTGGTGGGTTATTATATTGTTGATGTACATTGGGATTAGGGTGACGAAATGACTAGAAGATATATGGTGTGTGAAGAGTGTCGATAGAGCATGTACATACCGGCGAATGCCTTCTCGCTTCCTGTGATAATGATCGCGCCAATGCTCTTGTCATTGTCGTAGTTGCTCAGAGCTTCATTAAGCTCCTTGAACAAGGGAGTGCATAGTGCATTGAGGGCCTTGGGGCGGTTGAGGGTAACTATAATAAGAATTAGAATGTGTCCTGTGGTATATGGGCTGCAGTTACATACTCAATCCCACACCGGGCTTGGGGGTCGAAGTGAGGATGTGCTCGTAGCTACCAGTAGCTGAAGAATATCCCCGGACTCGGGCAAGGTAGTAAGTCAAGGGGACCGATGTCCGCGAAGTGGCCAGACGAGTGCATTGACGGGCAAACATTGTGCTATGTGAAGACAAGGACAATTAATTTAATTCAGATAATTGAGATTGAATTATGCAGAGAAAGAAGAGAGAGTAGCTACGCGATACCATCATAGATGGCCCGTTTCCCCGCGACCGACTGAACGCCGAAGTTAACCGTTCCGAGGTACACGTGAAATGGCTAAACCTCTTTAGTCTGTCTTATGTCACTGCACTGCCACATGATGACTGTGCCATATATCACGTGCCTATGTAAGTGGCTGGTTACTCATCTCCAGTATGATTGGCCAGTCTGCAGTGGACACTTTTCTGTCCTGAAGGAAGCGCAGTGCCTGTCCTGGAATGTCTGGTTTCAGCAGCTTATCTTAATCGCAGCTTTTTCTTTACTTTTCCTCTTTCCTTTCTTTCTTTCGGTGGTCTAGGCCTGTGCTTCGCCTATCCTCCCTAATATCTTCATCATGGATGTCCCTGAGCCCGATCAGTCGCCCTTCACAGCTGTGTCCGCGCACACCTCTAGACTGACTCGAGTAAGTGTTTCATGAGGGGTAAAGGCATTGCGCAATGGCTTTGGCTCCTTCATTTCTGAGACCCGTCGCAATATTTCGATGAATATGCATGCTAACATGTCAACCGTAGCACTACCAAGCCTACCTCGATGCCTCGACCCCGTACACAACCTACCGCTGGGTTGGTTCCGGCGTGCTCCTGCTCCTCTTCTTCCTGCGCATTTTCCTCGCGCAGGGCTGGTATATCGGTAAGACTCCCTTCAGGCCCTGAAAATGAAATTAGCAGAGCGAAAATGATGCGCTTCGACGTACCAACACGCGCAAGCCATTCATCCACGCTGTAAACATCTGGATAAACAAACCGCTAACGCCGCAATCTTAAATCACAGTCGCCTACACACTCGGCATTTACCTCCTGAACCTCTTCCTCGCTTTCCTGACTCCCAAGTTCGACCCGTCTCTCACCCAGGACGAGGGTCTCGAGGACGGAGACGCCGGCTCCCCCAGCCTCCCTACCAAGAAGGACGAGGAGTTCCGGCCCTTCATCCGCCGTCTGCCCGAGTTCAAGTTCTGGCACTCGGCCACTCGTGCCATCGCTATTGGCTTCGTTTGCTCTTTCCTCGCCGTCTTTGATATCCCCGTCTTCTGGCCGGTCCTGGTTGTCTACTGGATGATTCTGTTTGTGCTGACGAGTATGTCTCCCCTTTTCGATTGGAATTTGATACAATACCTGTATCATTTTTGTTGTGGAGATATGTCTAACTCAATCCTTTTTAAACAGTGCGACGACAAATCCAGCACATGATTAAGTACCGCTACGTGCCTTTCTCCTTCGGAAAGACGCGGTACGGTCGCTCATGAGATTTTCGATTTCTGAACTTCTTTCTGTCTCTGACTCTATATCCACGATCGTTCGCATGTGCATGTCCTGTATCTGTATGCGCGCTTTGGCTTTGTGAGCAACAGACAGGCATGATATGATAGGTGAAAGCGCTGGGCTCATGGTGGTCCATTTATGAATTTTCCCAGACTCTTTTTTTTAATCACTCTTTGTTTAGAGGGCCGCTGCTTTGGCGCGTTCCGGTCTTCCCCTGTGAAATATGATTAGACCTGAAGTCAATGAATGAACTGACTTGCAATATATGATTTTTTTGAAAACCAAGACTCCAAGACTTCGTTTTACAATTTCTTTTTGTAATTCGCCAATCGGCAAGGTAACATTGTTTTGAGACATGTGATGTAAACGTGAGCGGATTAGCGCTTGTATGCCATGATCTTATTCGAGAACATTTAGATTACACCGTGAGATGAACCCAACAGCTGATGCATCTAAAGCCGCATGAGCAAAGATTGTCTAGTCTTCTCTCGCTTGTTGCCTACAGGATTTCCTACTTTCAACAACACCCCCAACATGAAGTGATGCAAACACTGCCTACTCGACCTTAAGACTCCGACCAGTGCTCGCACTCGAGTGAACACCCTAGCACGATTATGGACATGGAAATGAACATGCCATCAGTGTTTTCAGCCTCCATTGAAATCACAATCCTCTTCACAGGCTGGACAACCTCAACCACAACGCAATACATCTTAACGCTGACCGTTCTATTCCTCCTCGCCATCTTCAACCGCTTCCTCGGCGCTCTCAAATTCCAACTTGAGAAATCCTGGTCCCAGAATACCTCTCCCCCTCCAACCCTACTTCTCGCTCCAGTAAATCCACGACAAAATATCCGAAAAGCAAAGCTCAGTCCTCTTCCAGACTACATGCGCGTGCACGGGGACGAGGATGACGACGAAGAGACTTTACCAGTTTCAAATAACGACAATGAAATACGAAATCCGTCGATAGAGTATCTCACAGGCGATAGCCCTCGGAATAAGACCTCACTGAAACGCCTACTCCCCTCGTGGAAGGCCAGTGGAACGTGGAGTTTCCGAAAAGACGGGACGCGTGCGTTGCTCGAGTGTGCTAGAGCTTTGATTGGATATTTCTTGTGGGTGGTTACACCTACAGCTGTCTACTTGTGTTAAATGATCGACTAATTATTCATATTGATAGGATGCTATCCGTGATGACCTTCAACATCGGCGTCTTCGTTACTGTACTTTTCGGCGTCCTAGTGGGAGAATTGCTTCTTGGGAGATTCTCTCAGGGAACTGCCTGGCAGGAAGGGACTTGTCATGGTGGGTAATTGGAGTTTAGATTACTGCTGAAGTTCTGGTTATATTCCCTTTACCTCGTGTTGTGTAATGCCGCGTAGTGTTCCATAATGGCAGCTTGGTACCTGTTGTTAATTAATATGGGCTATCAAAACTGTCACTATAGACATGCTAATCTCATTGTCATACCTGCTTCGTTATTTACCTAACTCCTTTATAAAACAAGGATTTCCATCGATATAACCCAAATCATCATCTAATTCTCGGTATAAGCATGATCAACCTGCTGCTGTTGTACCGGCTGAATCTCAGATTCTGGACAGCAAACCATCGACCCTATTCGAAGCGACAAATGTTACTACAAATCTATGCCGAATCGAAATTACCGATTCCATTCCGCTGACATTACGTACCTGGAGCAAGTGGAACCATAATCGCCCAAACCTCCCGGCAATTGCAATCAACTCCATTGATGTGCGAGCACTTTGCCAGTGGACGTCCAGCTTTGGGGATTCTCTTCATCGGTCGATCATAGTGTGCGCATTTGGACGAGCGGTGGCCTCGAATACAGGATTCACTTTGTAGAGCTTGTAAGTATGTTTTTCTACAATCTGGGTATAGATATAAGACAGGAGGTGTCTCACCAAGACCATTTATCACCTTGGGAGTCGAATGGCATGTTTCTAATTTGCTGGGTCGAATATGGCCAAGTCCACTAACAATTGTATTAACTTCTATGGAGCCCGAAAATGGGGATATTGGATCTATTGAGTAAATACTGAATGGAGTAGACTAACTATGTACTTGCGCAAATGTGCTCAAATTAGCGCTAGAGGGATCAACCGCCATGTAACCTTTTCTGGAGATCGACGTGATCTGTAAGGATCCGCAACGTAAGCTTAACGATGTAGAACATAAACCCTACTAAAAATCATTAATGAATGTGTATAACAATGATATTAAAGTGTCTTCTTCTACATGGGCAGAAAGGCATAGAGAACTCCGCCTCAAGGACTTCACCTTCATTCATCTATTTCAACAGCTTTTGCTATCGCTATCGCCTCTCTCTCCACATATATATCTCTCTAAATGAAGATCCAAAGCAGCACTATTTGGTAATCAATCTGTCAGACGAGCTAAAAATATCTTACCATTCCTCGGCACTACGGATGGGATCATTAATAGCAGAAGCGGATCTTTACTCTCCTATCGCTCGAAACCAAACTCAAGGTAATAAAAGCGATTTACGAATCTGAACTCTTCTTGAGGGCTTATGTTGGAAAAATACAGGCTATTTTACCACTAGACCACAACAAAAACCAAGGTTCCTGTTTATGGCCTAGGGGGGCCTTATTCCATTCTGTCAGCTTATTATCATACCTCAATGCGTATCTGTGGCGTTCGTAAAACAATTGGCGCAGGAGTTAGATATAGATATTGCGAAAAGAAAACCTACGGGGTGCCGAGATAATTACATTGAGTACGAGATTACGGCGTTAGGTATTGCAATAAGAGATGATTTTGTGAAGGTGGCTATCATCCTTTGGGCTTGACATTCAACATACTGAGAAAAGCAGAAGGCAAGAGAATACTCGAGCTCTTGTTATCCACGGGTGCAGTAAATCACTGGCGAACATCGACCCATATGGGGATATATATCCAAACAAATTTGATGACTGAAAATTCAGAGAAGCTACACTTTACTATTACAGTGACAGATTGAAGGCAAGATAATAGTTCGTTCAGCTGCCTAGTGTATGTAACCATGTTAAAGATGGCGGCTGCTATTAGGACAAGCTATTGACATCCATCCGGATCCACACTACAACCGAAAACATAGTTCAGATCAGACTCCTGAACCCGGCGCTTTTAAGTCAAGCATAGGAAACACTCCATCTAACTCCAGATCGTAGGTATCATGAACGGGCTCCGAGGCACATGCGGCATAACTTGAAAAGGCTGCATCAAGAAAAGAAAAAAGGTATCGCCACAACTTAAATCAACAGATTCTCCACGCTGCTCGGCATCTTGCCTCCGGTAATAGCGCTTTCCCCCAGTGAGAGAGTCGACATTTTGCGGTCTGGATTGGGGCGGGACAAGTCCTCGGATTTAGTACAGATCCAGGTCGATGCGTACATGTTCACCCTAGAATATATGTGTAAGTTTCGCCCGTAATAGTCAAGCACAAAAATTCTCAAACTCACCGATCAATACATGTGCCTGGGAAACGAGCTCCCACGCGACGAGCAGTGAAGCCATTTTCTTCGAAGTGCTTGATGTACCAAGGATCGATACTCGCGGAACGGAGGAGGATACGACCACCCTTTTTCAAAGCTTTGTTGAAAGTTCGGGCCTGGGCAGGGGCCGAGTCCTCTGCGGGATCAAACCAGTCCATAGAGTCCATGACCTAATATAAATTAGCACAAATACCGCAAAAGGATATTTCGATACTTACCACGGCAATAGTCAGAGTTCCTGGGGTGATACGGTTGATCACTTCGTTGATCTCATCAGTGTGGATACGGAGGCCATCGAATGCACCAGGCGTGGAAAGCCTGACGTGTGCTTGAGGAGAAAGATAGGTCGGGTGGCATCTATGATTGCAGTTAGCATGTGTAATCAAAAAGACAAGGATAAGGTAAGCGAACCTCCGTGAGAATTTGCCCTGAACGCAAAGGAAGTAGAAGTAGTTATCGTTGCTAATCAGAGTCTCGTTGACCACAGGGTCAAGAGTATTCACGACATATTCCCAAATCGATTGGCCGCTGACGTCCTTGCCCTTTTTCATATCTTCAGTCAAGCCGTTGCGGCGGAAGAAGTCGTCGACAATCATATTTCGCTGGTTGCGTGGTACTCCGGCAGCCTTCCAGGCGAACCATTCGGTGCTCACAATAGCCCAGTTGAGTGGTCGGCTCATTAGCACACGTCTAATGCGAGGCCAAATTTCGCGCTGCTCTGCAATACTCTGCGCTTCACACAGCTTGCGAACTTCACCCTGGAGTCCGAATATATTGAAGAGCCATCGCACCATACGAATGGCATGACGAGACCCACCGGTCTCATACAGACCATGACCAGAGGTAGAAGTGAAGGTCTGGGCGTGCTCAAGCCAGTACTGGAAAGCCTGGCTTGACAGATGGGGGCTGAGTTTAGAGATTAGCAGTTCACGGAACTGTGCGTGCTTGCCATCACCGAAGATTTTCCACATATCCCGGTGACCCAGCGCTGAATAACACGCAACCTTCAACTCGAGAAGATGATTCTGATTAGGGTTCAAGTCCACTGCATGCACCCGGCGGGGACTCTTTTGCAGATAATCAAGAATGTTGTCACCGGCGCTGGTGATAGCCAGGATCACATCGTCTTTGCCGATGTTCAGGAGTCGGTGGTCAACTCGCGGGTCTTCCCATGTGAACGCATAGATGTACTCGTTCTGGAATTGAGTATGTTTGGGTAGCATGTCATTGTAATGAATGCGATAGTGGTGGTTCTGGTAAAAGGACGATGGAAGCGGCAGGTTTGCACTCAAGTTAATCACTGCGGATTCATATGCCTTGGAGCGAATCTCATGTGTGCTTTTTACAACTGCATTATCCATTTCCTGCTTGTGATTGGCAGGAAGAAGGTAAGGAGATTCGGTAAAAGATGCATCCAGCTTCTCAATGGATTGACTTGATGGGGTAGATGCCATTTCCTTGGGGCAACCAACAAAGATGTAGTAAGGAATACCACCGAGGAAATAGTTTCGTTCGCTGGCGGAGATGACAGTACCAAACTTGTATTCCAGATAGTCTCGGCGGGCGGCTTCAAGGCTGACCCGGTCGAAATCGAACCAAGCTCTCCAAAATACACGCCCGAGCCAGTTGACATGGCGGTTGAAAGCGCCACCAGTGTAGTTGCGACAGGAAACATCCACAATGCTTTGGACTATATTGAATGAGTGACATTCATACAGAACTTCCAGGTATTGCTTACCGTAAAAGTCACACACACCCAGCATTCCAGTTGACTTCAAGCGGGAGGTTAATGAGTCCACAACGCTGTAATAGTCTAAACGAATCAATATCAATAGACTTTCGTGGTGATCCTAAATACTCACCAGGAATCATTGATAGACTGTAACTCATAGTGATCAAGTCCGCGCCATCTTTTGCTGCATTATCCTTCTCAGGCAGACGGAAAGACCGGGCATCCTGGCAGATAACGGTAACATTGTTCCACCCAAGGCGTTCGAAGCGCTTGCGGGCAACTTCGCAGAGGGACGGGGAGAGGTCGACTAGGTAAACATGTTTAAAGAATTTGTCCACCGGGAGGAAGGCGGCCATGGCTTCGATGTTGTATCTGTTACATGTCAGATGTTCAGTTTGTATTACTTCGGGATTCCTCTCGTGCCTACCCAGTACCACCGCCGACCTGAAATGTATTAGCGCTAGCTCAGAAACACAGCAAGACAATACTCACATCCACCCAGACAGCCTTTCCAGCCTTGACTTCTTTGTTGTTAATCTTGTACTTTAGCTGTGCAGCCACAAGACCAAGCATGTCCTCACGACCACAGAGCAGACGGCGACGAGTGGCATCGTAAATTGCGGCCTGGTACGGTTAGCTTCGCGCCATATCCAAGCTCGTGGTCATTTGATCGCACTTGTGTCTTGTAGAAGCTCTCCAGCGCATCCTGTTGGCCCCCGGCCTTCTTATCGTGCGGTTTGATGAAGTTCGCCCAGATGAATTTCAAGTAAGGCCCAGCTCCAGTGTTGGCCACTTTGATCCGCTGAGAGGAGACGAGAAGAACCAGGCCGACTAGAGCAAACACCAGTACGGCGGCCCCAACGATGTAGACGTGCATCCAATCCATGTTCAATATGTAAAGGGCGATGCAACAAACGAAGAGTGAGAGAAGCGACCGAGAGATTCAAATATAAATCAAATTGGGTCTAATTGACCACATGCGCCCCCTCATGAGAAGACAGCAGCGTGTACCATGCCCTATCACGGCGACACATGGGGGGGTGCAGATGATAAGAGCGAGTGGAGGGGGATAGGAAGGTACAATGGACATGGACTACACGTGTAGCTACGTGCATTAAGGAAGTAGCTTGTACATGATCCACTATAGCCCTTTGGATGGAAGGGATAGATCATCCGAAAGCAGCACAAACCAAAGTAAATCCCAAAGTAAATTGACTGCAAATCAAATCCGATCCAACTCTAAGGACAATTGGGTTCCTGCAGTAGCCCGTGGTCCCTCAACAATTGGGCCACTCAGAGCCCAGTCACTTCCCATGTGGTCCCCTGAAAGTCTTGGCATTGACCGTTGAGGTCCCATTGACCGGGCCCGTGGGGTCTGCTGTGTCCCCCATAGGGCCGCCACCAAGGCCAACCCTCAGGGCCCACGGGCGCCAATCAGCTCCCCGTTTGCTAGCACATTGGGTGTTCCCCAGATTTGATGGGATCTCAGTGTTACCGTTCATTATGAAGCCCTGGAGATCCCGACGACGGGAAATTTTTGGGATCCCATACTAGGTATTTGTTAATTCCGTTTGCAAGTACATGTAGCATCGTTTTCACTCATCAAATATTCAATAGTCGTACATGATACTGGCCTTTCATGCTCTGTTTCTGTTACTTAGGCCGGGAAAAAACAGCAATAATCCCCAAGACTGAAATTATTGGCTGAATGAATTACGTATTTATTAGAACTAAAAATTTTAATAGGAGGCTGTCTAATCGGAAGCTGGTGAAGGTATCCATTCTGAACAGGTAGTCAATGAATGCGCACTATGACAGCTGTAACTCGGGATAGCTTGACTAACATACAGAAAAGAAGACAAATTGGTAAACGCTACATGAATCGACGAAGATAATCCCATGTCACCAAACTCCATCTTGTGAATTGCCGATGCCGACGCGACCTTGCTGCCTGCCATTTGTCTAATTTCTTTAAACAGTGACAGCGTCCAAGCCCATCGCATGGAAGTACGAGATACTGTCCCCTGCAATGTACGCTTCCCTAATCTGGCCAGTACAGTCATCTTGGACAAGGAAGTCTGTTCCGTTATAGGTGACAGCAGCACCTTCTTTCAATGGCCTATGCAATTTACGACATCAGCTTTGTACTAAAGATTATAATGGCTCGAACTTACGTTGGAAAGAGTGTGAAGTTCGATCCGAGGACACCATGCATTATCCACCGAACAGCAATTGAATGATCGGTCGCAACTGTCCGGATGGGTTTGAAGTAATATTCCTTCCATCCAGTTCGAGATCTTTTAACGAAGGCAGCAAACTCATTTCTGTTTGTTATATGGGTGGCCGAGCTTCCTTTCCCACTTGCTGAAGGGAAACTGTCGGCAAAGAGGACAACATCGGGGTGGAAGACAGTGTCAATGAGCGACAGATTCCCGCCCCAAACGGCGATGTAATTCTCCAGAAGACGCTCATGGTAAGCACATCCGGTGATTTCCAGTCCGCAGCAGGACGGGCTAGCAAGAGCCCCGGAGTAACCTAGTAGAGAGTAGAGAGCAAAGTCCAATATGAGATCGAACTTCATTGTGAAAGTGTCGCTCGAAGCTCGTGGGTATTCCAGGAAGGGCTGTTTGGCTGTATCTCTTACTTGAAATTGAGGAAATTCCTCTCTTTATATGTTCAAAACACCATCGAGCAGGTCTCTGGGTGGATCTCGAAATACGAAGGGTGAAACCACCTCCTAGTACATGGACGGGATGTGCATATTTGTGGGCCTGGTGCTATCGCAGAATAATTGGTAGTGAGGCAGTTCAAAGCTCCTTATGGAATGACTGGATGAAGAGAATATTTTAGCCCCCAAAATATACAACGTCTAACAAGTCCAATGCAGCCCGCGCATAATGTTCCCTTTTGGGTCTAGCTTGGGAACCTCTACGGCCCCACTAATTTAAAGTTATCTCCACGCGAGTCTGACGCAACTTCAATAGTTGTGGTCAGCAAGGCATCTGGGCATAGAAGAACATCGTGGACAGTAGTGACTGCTTTGTTACCCTAATCCTCACGGATAGGAAAATCATTAGTCGAACTCAAGTGCGCTTTTCCACTGCATCACCCAGCCCAGTTGCCAATGGTTGGTGTCGGGGGGCGTTCCAAAGCATGCCGTACCTGCAGGCGGCGCAAAAAGGGGGTAAGTATTTATTCAATAAATCAAAAGTACTCATTCTACATTGAAATAGCAGCACTAACCACAATAGTACATATGTAGTGTGATCTACAACAGCCCTCGTGTGGACAATGCAGAAAGTCCTGCATCCCTTGCGAAGGGTATGCTGATGGTCTGATCATATACCGTTACTATGGCCATAGCCAGGAGGGGGAAATTTCTTCTTTTCATGGGTCACACAGGACTCAAAGTCGCCTTCCCATCCAGGCTAGTCTAAATCATGCGTCTTTATCAGCTGACCTGACTACCTCTGTCACTCTTTCCCAAACCGCCCACGAGTCTTATCTCGAAGGGAACTTTTGGACATCTTACATGCCAAACAGTCAGACCTTTTCGCTTTTTGATGATACCCAGCGAGATTTAGGTGGCTCCATCATTGTACTTCGAGATATCCTACCGGGAAACAGCATCTTACGCACTGCTCTCGGTGCAATAGCACTCAGTGCTGCCGCAAATAATGACAGCAGCCAGTATTGGATGAAACAACAAGGAACAAAACTGCATATGAATGCCTTACAGCAAATGCGAAAAGCATTAAGCTCCCGCAGGAAACCTGGTCTCGAACTTCTCGGTGCTGCACGGGTATTCAGCTTTTACGAGGTATATCGTATTCAATCTCGGCTCTTAAGCTATTAATAGACAAATCTCGCTTGAAATTGAATGCCAACTAACATGGTTCATTCAGGCTCTGTACGGGGGTGATTGGCAAAATCAGGAAGCCCAATCCCGCAGCTGGAGCATCTACCATTCTGGAGATCTTGCGCTTATCCTTTCCAATCCACCATCATTCTATGCTACCGGCCCAGCCCATAGACTGTTTGTTGACGGGCGACTGAACCATGTATTTGATCTATATCTCGACGATGTGGAGTAGTGCTAATACATGAACAGGTAAAATGTGCACTCAAGGAACGGAAGAAGCTCGTTTTCAGTGAGCCAGCGTGGATGACTGATCCTTGGACTCATCACCCAAAAACCCGAAAAGACTTGCTGGTAGACATTCTTCTGGAAATCCCATCGATATATGAGGGCATGGACAACATGAATCTTCAGCCAGATTCCCCGGCAAAGTTGAGGCAACGTTTTAACCTCCAAGAGATGGTTTTCACTGTCATAGAAAGATTATCCAACTGGAGATTAAATTTTGCCGTCGCAGTGGCGTGTATAGGACCGAAATGGCAGTTCCCAAGCAACATGACGACAAATGAAATCGCGGATGCGCATATAATGACACTCTACTGGGCATTGAGTATCATCGCTTACGGTGTCTGTCACGCTATTTCTGGTGGCGAATTTGATGCTGTTGGTGTTGATCCAGACGGTTGTTGTCGCAGTATAATACGCTGTATCCCGTCATTCCTACAGCCATCCACCGGTGTCTTTCGTCAACACCTCGTCCCTTTCCCATTGATAGTAGCGGTTCGGCACCTCAAGTCAATACAGCCGCGGAAATTACAAGAAGAGAGTGATTATGTCCAGTTGCTATGTGAGAACCCGGAGTTTACACCGATGCATCAGTTCATGTCAAGCATTCAGCCACAAATTTTGAGTGGGCTAAAGAAAGCATGTTAAGATAGCCAAAATTGGGGCTACATACTTATTTCCTGGCACTCGCTATTCTCTAATACTGGGTTTCAATTTTGTTGGCTTATTTTCTTATAGTTCCCCTTTTTAGATACTTTATTTGTGAAAACTTCATATTGCTAGGAATACCACCGATCGTGGAAATAAGCATCCAGATGGGCAACCCGCCAGAGCAGCATGTGGAAAATGGACCATTAGTCACGTTCAGAGATCAATATCACTAGGTTTCTGCCCCTGAACTTCACGGCATGAAAGGAAGATATTAGTCTAGCATATCTGGGTTAACAGATCCACTTGAGCAGCTTTTGACTGCCGTCACATCTACCTGTGGAAGCAGGAAGTGGTTGGTAGATATGTGAATAATGGGAAGTAATACCGCTACCCTAAAGCCATCTATATAGCTATATAAGGACAAAGAAAGGGGGAGAACAATCTAATAAACTACTGAAGAAAGCAACCATCAGGCAAACAGTAAAAAATGCCTCAGTATAGCAGCTATCATGCGAGGAAGAAAAAGAAGAAGAAACAGGTGGTAGTGTTTTGGTCTATTACCCTCAACGCATGGGGCAACCATATACAGTACACAAGCCCAGGATGTCGAGCCTCTAGTCCGGCATTGCGGTCATACGTATCAGGGTACGCTAGTATAATTTATTATATTAAGAAGATATAGCAAGTGTGGCGAGAAAATAGAACCTCGAAAATTATAGAAAAATCAGAGCACGGTAAAATACCAGCAAGCGGGGACAGAAGTAGACAACTGAGAAGACTACATATACTTTGATTGACCATTGACTATACGTAACGCCATTTTCCATTGCTCAGACGCCAGACCCATGGGAAACTACCTAGGGAGAAGATTCGAGATTGTAATGTTCAAAAAAGGATCCATAATACATAATAAACAGCCGCGAATATCTATTCGTCATCGCTCATGCGAGTATCCTCATCGGCTGGCTTCTCAGTCTCCTCGTTCTCCAACGGTTGCTCCTCTTCCTGAGCAACAGGCTCGGGTGGCATATTGCTTGCAAACTTCGGATCGATGCGCAGACGGGTCAAGGCACGCTTGTAAATTTCAGCCTCATTAGGGTCCCGCATCACCACCTGCATCTGGTCAATCCGTTCCTCGATCTCCTCCTGTTGGGTAGAAGTGGGAGCAAGACCGGCCTGGGCGATAGTGCGGGCACGCTCCGGCTTGAGGCGGGCCTTGCCTGAGATTGGATAGTAGTAAGCGGCCAATTGTCTGGTGTCGCCATTCTTGGGTTTGAAGAGCGTCAATGCAATGTCCTTTTGCTCGGTATTGAAAACCTGAGCACTGGTGGCGTAAGTGCGAATGCGATCATAGCGGTGGAACTTGTGGCCCTCGGCGCTCTCGTTGGTGTAAAGGTCTTCGCTGTCTCGGTTTGTGTTGGACAGATTCATGCTTGCGTCAATGTTCTTAACAGATTGGGGCTTCTCTGGAAGGAAGAGCTGGTAGTCGTAAGGGACTGGGCCCGGGTGGGCATAAAGAGCAGGGTTCGTGTGGTGAAGACTGAGCTTAGATTCATGTTCCTGACAAACACGCTGCTCAGGCGCGACGGGTGTCAGGATACCAACATCCATACGCTTGTCCCGCTTGCCTGCGACGGCCGTCAAAGGCGCTTTATCAAACTTGAATTGAAGGTAACCGCCAGGGTCTGGGAACCCTTCCAGGTCAGGCATCACAGGGAAGAAACCGACTGGCTTCAGTTTCGGGTTTTCAGGATTAACAGGATTGGCCCAGGCATCAAGTTCTGCCTTTGTGGGGGGAAGACCACGGATTTGGCTATCAGTGTCCTCTCCAGTGTGCTTGCTCTGGGGGTAGGCGATATCGAATCCTTTTTGGATGAACTTCTTAACATGTTTCGGGTCGTCCACAGGAGGCTTTCCTTTCTTTGCAGTGCGCGATTGTGCTTTAATGGGTGCAGGGCGGGATCCATCTCCGGCACTGCGATCGACACCAATGTGCTGTGTACGGCGGAGGAAACTGACATTGGTATTCCTCGGGGCAGGGTTTCGGAGTTGCTCAATAGTCATGAGAAGGGGAAGGTCGGCGGGGTCCATGGGCTGAGGATTCTCGGGTGCCATGATAGCTGGTGGAGATGTTAGTTTCAGCAGTGCAATTATAGGGGATTCCGTGTTGATATACCACTCTCGTCGCCCAAATGTAATCCCGGAATACCGACAAGGTCAATTGGCATTCCACCTTCGGCATCGACTTCAATGTTGGGCTCCTCACGGCGTGCCAGGTTTGAGGCAAAGCCTGGGGTGAGGAAGCGGCTCAAACCCTCGTGTGGGATGTCAAGGAACTTCGGGGGCATGTCCGGGGGAGGGAGATCATTGCGATAGCGGAGGGACGCAATGTACTCTTGGTGAAAGCCACCCGATGACTGACCCTCCTTAGATTTGGAAGACATATTGTCGTCTTATTTGTTCTCGCGATTGACTGGGCGATTAATTGCGCATTAGCAACTTGGCGTCTGGAATGAGCGGGACGGAAGCTCACTGTAATGGACTGGGATGGAGTGTAATTGACTGGGGTGAACTGGGATGCTGTCGCCTCGGATTTGGTAAAGAGAAATAATTGTACAAATCTACAATAGCCAGTTAGTATAAGAGCTTGATTCAAAATGGATGCGAGGGAATTGGTCGCAAACCTACCGTCAGGAATGTCCAAGGGCTTGTAGAAAGACAGGGGCAGCGGTAGGGAGGTAAAGTGGCGATATAATCAGAATCTAGTGGTTCAGCTCGCCAGTAAA